AACAACTTTAATAGACAATCTATCCCAAAGAAAGTTAAAAGATAGGTCATAGAAGCATGTATAAACTTTGGTTAAAGCGTCATGAGTATAAGATGTTAATTCAAAACTTGATGGAGAACATACAATTTTGTCTTCGAAACCCCAGACATTAACTTGTCACCCATGAAATGATTTTTGAACCTATACCTGAACTACACATGACGTCAAACTCAAAAGTTTGAACAGACATGGGGTTTTGCTGTGTCACCTTTCTATACCTTTTCTCATCGTTTTTGGACAGACCTCCACTAGAGGATGTTTTCATTTTCAAGGAACTTATAAAACAAATAGATTCTTAGTTCGACTTCTGCGAAATCTTCTTAGTGAAAAACTAGGAAACTACGCTTGCTTTTAGAAGCTGAAGCAGATAACGAATGGGTACTCGCAGGAATCCTATGCAAAACTAAATCTTGAGCTCCTCTAAAGCAGCAAGCTTTCTGACTAAACGACTCATGCACTTGTCAAAGCATTTAATTTCTTTATACCTTTGAAAATAACAAGTAGCATAAACTCACATCACCAGTACGACTTGCTACACTTTGAGGGACGTCAAAAACACCATCCGACCGCGCCGTCGTTGTGCTCAGAGCTGAAAAAAAGAGGTTTTTGTAAGTTTACAAACAACCAATTTGTAGGGTTCCCTTCCAACTTTTTCTGAAAACTTACACGGCGGTGGAGCTGGTACTGTTACTTTCGGTATTACTACTCATAATACTGGACGACATCTTGGAGATTTGTGCGAAAGCGGTAGAAGCGGAAGAACTCGACGATACAATGACGATAAGTGTTGGCCGCGCGCGCGACCGCCCGCCCTTATATGCACGCTGTGCGTCTGCGCCTCCACGTGGCCCATGCTCACTCCTCCTTATCGATCTCCGCGGTCAGCTGAGCCGCCGCGAACGCATGCGGAATGGTTGTACCGTATGCGCGGCGGCTGGCTTTCTGCCAATTCCGACGGGGCGAGTAATGTTGGGTCGTAAAAATTGGCCCCGTAGCGAAGTTGAAGCTTTGCGGAGTGGAGTAGCGAGATCTTTTTTTGTGTCATTCGTTTCACTTCCGGATTCTTCAATATTACAGGGTTGGCAGCTCTCCTGAGTGACTGCCTTTGTCCTTCGCTCGCGCTATAAATGAATTCTACGGATATTGCTGAAGAGACGGTTTGCGGCGACACTGAGGTATCCTTTACTAAATGTCAATTGCTTTATTTCTTCACTTTACCAAGCAAAGTTATTGTATTCTACTGCGCATTATTTTATCTTATCTCACCTACCTGCAAAAACCTCATCAACTCACAAGGGAGATGTAAGCTGACAAGTGATATTTGATATGTTATATTTATTATAAGTATATGGGTTTTGTACGCAGGCTGGGAAGCAAATCTCATTGAATTTTTAGTCTGCAAATGACATTTCATAAGAGATTTTCTAAGTGAAGATCTTACCACACACTCTCTTGTTTAGTCTAGATTGAGAAATCCTGTAATAGTTGTTTTCAGCAAAGAACATGCATCATTACAAAGAGTTGATGGCAATGAAAAATTTTTAAGCTTCTCAAGAAGTAGTCATGGGTAACTTCAGTTCCCGAAATTTTAATAATCAGACGTTGTAGATGTGATACTGATGATCGGTTTGAACAGGAAGGTCCTTAATGCACTTTGAAAATTTATCTTCTGTTTGTTCTAGTTGAATTCTTGAAAAGCTGTTAAAAAGTTTTCTTTAGGCTTTGATTCGAGACTGTTTGGATCACTGCAGCCTTGATGATGCTCTTTTCCTCGCAGAATTAAATCATTTGAGAGGTACGATATATGCCAATGATTTATTTTTAATCAATTTCTGATTAAACTGTGGCTATGGAAGTAAACCTCCGGTACAATGTTTGCATTTATTTTTGTAGAATAGCGGTTTCTTTGTGAATTGTTACCACTAACCTAACTTACGTATAACCGTTAAATTGTACAAGTGAAGCTGTTATTTCTCATAGCATTTATCTTGAAGGAACAAAAGGCTATGTTTACTGCTCTCTGTTTTATCAGGAACTTCATCCTTCACAGTCACCTTAACTTGTTGTTACAGAACAACTCTTAATAAACATGAAGCCTTTTATATATAACGTTCATCAAAGTGTCTGTGCATTTCAGTAAAATCAGATCAGTCACTGCTTCTTTACTGTGACTGTTTATTGCGTCTCAATCGGAAGCACGAAGTATACAACCTTTTGCGGTGTCATCCTCTCACGAATGCTAGGTTGCGGTATCTTTTCGCAAAATGTTGCTTTGACTTAAACAAGTTAGTCGTTTTTGATGTTTGCTGTTTAATAGATTAGAAATATATTGTTTAAGGAACGATGAATGCTGTCGAGTTTTATCAGAAAGAAAGGAGGGCAGACTTCATGACGTCTTTGTCGGGACATCAACTGAACCATTTGCACATTCTCTTTTATCAACAGTACAGTGGTGAGACTTCTTTAAACCAGATCACAGACAACATTTTTTTCTCTCCTCACTTAGATGTAGCGTTGTTAACTTTTACGTTTTAGCATATGTGGGAGATATGCAGCTGCAGCGAGAGAGAGTGAAAGTGCCGTACGAGGAAACAATTTCCTATGGTCAGCTATATGCAAAATCGTGCAATTCGACGATCACCCCATGGACGAGCTTTTTCAAGAAACAACGAACAAGCTCTTCCCTCCTTCACCAACCACGTCTGCACAGAACGACGATACCATGTGCGTGCAGTAGAATGAAATAAGTGTGGTCTTTCTGTCTGTCAAACGGTTTGAGTTCTAGGCAAATTGTAAAAAGCGATCCAGTCCAGAAACAGGAAACACCCATTGACACACGAGTATTACCGATTCGTATGACTCCCGATGATAATGCACCCACTCCCGCAATACCAA